TTTGTCTTGCATGCACCGGGCTCGGCGCATCATACTAACTGCATTGTATTTCAATTCCAAGTTGAATACGTGTTAGTTGTAGCATCATCATATGTCATCCATAGATTAGCCGAGCCTATTGTAGCTGCATCTTGTATGTGTTGCATTAGCCATCTTAACATGAGTTAGGATCATGCATTGATTACTAACTAGCTTTTGTTTTGGCTCGGAGTACTAGGTAAGCTTTCATGCTTTAGCATCCTTGCATGAGTGTGAGTGTTGCCATGACAGCATGCTTACCATGTGGCTAGATGCTTATGTGATATAAACTGCTTGAGTGCCTGTGGGTGAAGGTTGGATTGTTTGAGTTGGGACAACTCGTTGAAATCTGTGCTTTAGCCTACTTGCTAGTAGCAAATTTCAAACTGTTTTTCAAACAAACGGATATGCAATGCTTCGTTCCAAATTAGGCAAACTAGTCTATATTTTTGTGTTGTGCGCATCACATAGTAATTCTAGCTAATTGACTGGAATAAGAACACATAACGTTTTCAAAATCGGATATCATGGTTAGCAGAGGCCGATCTTCGGATCGGGCGAGAGGGGGTGCTCATAGCTGACCTTTCCCAATCGTACCCAAGTTCCCGAGTCGAGGAAACTTTGGTGATGACAGACACGTGGCCTTTGGCACCGATTCAGGGTTTCCTAAATTCCCCCATAAAAAAAATATTTAGGTGGCGACTCTGTATCTGGCAAAACAGTCTATGTTTGGCACTTCTTTTGTAAAAATCTGTTTTTCTCAAAACAATTTGCCGGATTTGGACTCTTTGGTTCAGATTAAGAACCGTGACACAAATTGAGTCCGAACTGTAGTGAGGCCCAAGGGCGCGTCTACAGGCAGGTTAGAGTACGCAAAAAGAATTGAATTGTGTAGTGTAAGGCTGCTACTGGGGTTGATTTTCTTGGCAGATGGGGGTGGATTTTCTGGGGGGGGTTTCTTTTCTTGCTGGGCATGGTTTCTCACCATCCCTCTGTGATTGAGCTCGCAGATGATTGAGCTCTCTATTTGGTGCCAACCTAGTTGTGATTGGGTTAGTTAGTTATGAAGTGTTTTGCTTTTCCATTCCTTTATTGATGTTCATCTCATACGTAATTGTATGCTTTCGTCATAAATAAAGTTCGTTTTTGTTGATAAAAAAAAAAAAAGTCTCTTTTAAAGCGTCCGTAAAGATGCTATTGTAATGTTGAGATTATTAATATTAGTATTCTTTTTTGAGGACCAGATTATTACTTAGAAACATAAGGTGGTAAATAGTTATAGTTTACCATATCCCATCCCTTTCTTGTAGGCAATGAAATTCTGTTTACTGCATTATAAGAAAATGACTCTCTTTTACTAAATGCGTTTTAACGGCACTTCTTAATCGGATTCTTAGGAAAAAAAAATATAGTAATGTTTTTAAAATTTGATATAATTACATTAATTTTTATTTAGTAAATTTAATAAAAAATATGAGAGCTTTTTTAGTAAATCCATTTTCTAAGAGTGTTGTTCCATGAAACCCATACTGTTTTATAATATTCCATTAGGTCCATTTTATACAAAAGACCAAAAAAGCCCTAAAAAAACACGCGCCCCTCTCTCTCTCTCTTTGAATCTAATAACCGTTTCTCTTCCCCTCTCTATTCTTGCGCAAGAAATCACGCACAGTACCTCTACAGTCCACAAATCCAAACCATATTCCATATCGCCTCGACGCCCCGAAGACTGTATTCCTTCCATCGTTGCATCTTCGCATCGTCTCATCATCTTCTCCCCATCCCTACGCCGAGAAGCCTGTCTTCGTTCGATCGTCACATCGTCTCATCATCTTCTTCGCCGTTCGTACGCCCAGAAAACTGTATACGTTTCTTCGTCGAATCGTCCCTTCGTCTCAACATCTTTGTCGTCGAAATGGGCAAAAAACGTAAGCATTCATTTATTCTGAACCCCTCAATCGTAATCCCTAAATTTTTTCATTTTTGCACTCAAAAACATTACACTTGCCATTACATTGTGTTCACAACTGTCAACAATCGAAAATGTTCTGGTTGTAGTTGTTGTTATTGAAAAATGTGAACATTCACATTGATTGGAAATGGTTTGATGATCAAATTATTCCAGATGTTACTCCGTTGTTGTTCAATGCTGTTACCATTCACATGGTTTCAAAAAATTTTTGGCCAGTTATTTTTTTGTTGCTGTTGGTAACAGATATGAACATTCACATTGAGTTAAAATGTTTGCGTAATCAGGTATTAATGGTGTTGTTGTTGTATGCTGTGAAAATTCACAGGCATTGACACACTTTGGCCAATTCTGTTGTTGTTCTTGTTGTTGGAAGATGTGAACATTCACATTGCCTGAACATTGTAGGACAATCAGATATTATTGGTTTATGTTGTTATAGGCTGTGAACATTCGCATTGCCTGAAAATTTTTGGACAGTCAGATATTTTTGGTGTTGTTGTTCTATGCTGTCAACATTCACATTTGCTGGAAATTTTAGGAGAGTCAGAAGTCGGTGGTGTTAATGTTCTACGATGTAAACATTCACATTGCCTGAAAGTTTCAGTTCAATCAAATATTATTGGTGCTTTTGGGCTAGGCTGTGAACTTTCACATTGTCTGGAAAATTTGCCTGAAAATTTAGGACATTCAGATATTATTGGTGTTGTTGTTCTATGCTGTCAACATTCACATTTGCTGGAAATTTTAGGAGAGTCAGATGTCAGTGGTGTTAATGTTCTACGAGGTGAACTTTCACATTGCCTGAAAGTTTTAGTTCAATCAGATATTATTGATGCTTTTTGGCTAGGCTGTGAACATTCACATTGTTTGAAAAATTTGCCTGAAAAATTTAAGACATTCAGATATTATTGGTGTTGTTGTTCTATGCTATCAACATTCACATTTGCTGGAAATTTTAGGAGAGTCAGATGTCGGCGGTGTTAATGTTCTACCATGCGAACATTCACATTGCCTAAAAGTTTTAGATCAATAAGATATTATTGGTGCTTTTGGGCTAGGCTGTGAACATTCACATTGTCTGTAAAATTTGCCTGAAAATTTTAACAATTCAGATATTATTGGTGTTGTTGTTCTATGCTATCAACATTCACATTTGCTGGAAATTTTAGGAGAGACAGATGTCGGCGGCGTTAATGTTCTACCATGCGAACATTCACATTGCCTGAAAGTTTTAGTTCAATTAGATATTATTGGTGCTTTTGGGCTAGGCTGTGAACATTCACATTGTCTGTAAAATTTGCCTGAAAATTTAGGACAGTCATATATTATTGGTGTTCTTGTTCTACGCTGTCAACATTCACATTTCCTGAAAATTTTAGGAGAGTCAGATGTTGATGGTGTTAATGTTTTACGATGTGAACATTCACATTGCATGAAAGTGTTAGTTCAATCAGATATTATTGGTGCTTTTGCTATAGGATGTGAACATTCACATTGTCTGAAAAATTTTAGTTGAGTCAGATGTTATTGGTGCTGTTGTTCTATGCTGTCAACATTCACATTGCCTGCAAATTTTTGGATAGTCAGATATTGTTGGTGCTGTAGTTCTAGGCTGTGAACATTCAAATTGCTTGAAAATTTTAAGAGAGTCAGATTTTATTTGTGCTGTTGTTCTATGCTGTGAACATTCACATTCCCTGACGATTTTAGGACACTCAGATATTATTGGTGCTGCTCTTATATGCTGTGAACATTCACATTGCCTGAAAATTTTATACATGCTCTTCAACGATGTTCATGGTTGCATAAAAATGCATTGTTTACCACACACTGACACGATATGTTCATTGTGTTTGTCGTGACACAGTTGAAATACACATTCATGTACCTATGTGAATGTTCACAACCACACACAAACTCTGGTGATTCACACCCACGCACACAACTGTGAACATGCACATCAGTGGAAATGCTGTGAATGTTCACATCTGTTCCACTATGCTAATCACATGAGCCTTCACTTAATTTTTTTTAAATGCTCCATTTTGCAAACGTCGCACACAAGAAAACCGGAAAGGGAAAAAGAGATGAGTCCCATGTGAAGGAAGAAACCCCAAAAACAAATACTTGCACCAATGTCGACAAGCGCCATGTGAACTACAGATCTAATATGACCGGACTGGTCAAATTAATGAAAACCACCAAGTTCACAGAAGCACAGCTTCGGTGCCTTCGACAAACCCCTTTTTGGAATTTGTTTGATGCATTGAGAAACAATCAAATCGACCTAGATAAATGCATGAAGTATGATGATGTTGTTGTGCATGTACTACAAATGTACCAAGCTTCAGAAGATGCCTTCTACATTGGGCAGAAGAAGATGAAAATACACAACAACGACATCAAGCTGATTTTCGGTGTGGACTGTGGCAGCAAGCCAATGGAATAACATACGGTGCGAAACCAAAGACTGGCATTGTAAACAGAAGATGCAAAAACGTCAGCCGGTTGACTTCAAAATGGATACAAACCCTTTTGACCGAGGCATTGAAAGGAAAAAAGAAAGATGACAACGAAGAAGTTGCCCGACTAGTGTGCATGTATGCTTGCCAGAAGCTTTTTTTCTCAACAAGCGGAGAGACAATAGGATGGGGCTACTACGCACATATGGTCCCACTGGAAAGCATGCAACAATATGATTGGGCGAAGCAAATTAGGACAATGTTGACATCGTCTATTTCCCAAAATGACAAAAATCCAGCAAAAGTCACCGGCTGTGTCATGTTATTGATGGTAAGTACCCATGTTTTCCAATAATAAGATTGAAATGTCCTCCAGTGTTTTTCATCTAAGCCAACTGTCAACATTGGCATCTGCACCTCTGATGTGAATGTCCATAGGCAATTATATTTCACATATGTGAATGTTCACATCTGAACCACTGATGTGACTGATCACATTCACTCATAACATACTATTGTGCATGTTCACAACAGTGCCACAGCACTTATGTTTCTGTCATCATTCACATCAGTGATTCAAATGTGAACAGTGTGAATGTTCACATTCAATGATAATGTACCACTCTGAATGTTTACCACACTGCTCTGTAGGCAATTATGTTTTCACTACTGTGAATGTTCACATCTGAAGCAGTGAATGTGACTGATCACATTGACTCATAACATAATTCTGTGAATGTTCACAACAGTGCCACATCGCTCACGATTCCCAGATGTGAATGTTCACATTCAATGATAATGTACTACTGGGATGTTCACAACAATGCCACTGTGATTAATGTTCACATAGGTTGCCATTACTCTGCAAATGCTAAATAACAATATGCGTTTCTTGTTTTATTGAAGTACTGGTTGTGTGAGCACACAACCGCCCTCCAACCTCACAGACCCAATGCTTTTCCTCGCTGTGTGAAGTGGGATCTGACTGCTTTGCAGAAGAAGATGAAAACCATCTCCTTAGCAGATTTGGGTTTTAATGAGGTAGGGCCTTCAGCTAGTGATCAAAACATTCACATTATAACACCACCCAAATATATGCGTTAATTAACATAATTTTTTCATTTTCAGGTTAATGCAGGTGAACTCTTTGCAATCCCAACAGAATTACAAAAGTTCAAGCGTAAAACATTGAAGGTGGAGCCTGAAATTTATGAACCAGGCAGAAAATCTCCCAACATTTCTGACATCAAGGGAGAACAACACAGTGGCAGCAACTCCCACTTTTCTGGGGATGGGGTAGACCTGAAGGACAGTGATGAGGACATTCACATTCCATTTAGTAGCCAACATTATGACAGAGCTATTGTAATACCAGACACAAACCAACCTGATATCATTGATGTGCTTATCCAAGAAAATCGGAAGGCTTGGGGCGTCATAAGGCAATGGGAAGCAAAGTACAAACACCTTCAATTTTCATGGGAGTTGAGGGCAAGAGTCATAGCTGATCTTGAACATATATTGTTTAACCAGTCCAGCCCGCCCAACGTGAATATCGAAATGAAGAAGTCCATGGAGCAGAATGATCAAGAAATCAAACGCTTAACGCAGCTGGTCATCGACTTAGAATGCGATAAAACAATTCTTCAGGATCTTTACGATGACCAGTCAGTCCACATTATCACACAAGCTATGTCAGAAAGGCAACCCCCTAGCCCAATGCAACACAATATCAGCCCACCTTCTAGGGTCAAGCGTATAAAGGAAAAAGATCGCAAAGAACATCGCCTGCCTGACTTCCAATACCCAGACTTACCTGGCCAAAAGCAGCCCCATCCAGTCGAAATGGTTGAAGATGTGGAGGAACACCCACCAGCGAAGCAGCCAAAAAAATTATCCTTTACCAAGAAGTTCAAAGTCTAGGCCAAGATGTCCAAACATGACAAACAAAAGGTCCAAGGTTTACAAAAAACTGGAGGCGATGAGTAAGTGACTGTGCAAACATCCAATGTTAACATTCACATTCCGTAATAGTCTATATTCCTCACTGTGTTCAGTTTTTTTGGGTTGTTGAGATATATGCAATGTGAATATTTACATTGGTTTGTTAATAATGCACAGGCTGCTGGTGTGGAAAGGAGATTCGAAAGCTATACATGTGTATTTTGATGACATTGTCAACCTTATCAAGGAGGAATCAATACACAGCAATGTATGCCATTACAAATATAATTCAGTCTTCATGCATATGCACACACAGACACACACACACTCACATCCACAAAATCTATATAATATGACCCCATGTTTGTGCAGCTCATAGATGCATATGCTGAACTGTTGCATGAACAACAAGAGGTGGTCAACCCAACTTCAGATGAAGCCTCATTGATCTTCACGAGCATGTGTTTGGTAAAATCTATCATTCCATTACTTGTAATGTGACTGTGAAACTTCACAGTCCATTAATTATTTGTCAAATGTGTACAGAAAGTGATACGAGAGTACCATCCTCGCAAAAGGAGTAAACACATTGACGCACATGTCAAAAACTACCAAGGAGAGAGATACCTACTATTCCCATTGCATCATGAGTACCACTGGACGACAGTTGTGTATGATGCTAAAGAAAATTTGTGGAAGCATTACAACTCGTGCCCAAGACCAGGCATACATGACCCGCATATCGACCAAGCACAGGAAATTGTAAGTGGCTATTTTTCAACACAAACATGACTTGTTCTCGTGCATTAAATGACTGTACACACACATATGTTTGTTGGTACCTAATTTGAAATTTCATACACAGAGGAAGTACATTGAGCATGTTGTGAGCGTTATTGGCGAGTCATCACCGCTACACACTAAGTTAGCAGGCCAAAATCCAGCACAACCAACCAAAAGTGTTGATGTCTGTCCTCAACAAGGCGACGACTCGTAAGCCTCACTAAATTTTTTTTCAAATCCTCCACAACCATTATGCAAATATTCCCGTCAACTGCTAATCAAAACCATTTCACATTTACAGAGTGGACTGCGGACCTGCAGTATGTTACATCATGCGGGCACAC